TGATGCGAGAGCAGAAGCAGAACGAGAGAGAGAGAGAGAGAGAGAGAGAGAGAGAGAGAGAGAGAGAGAGAGACGCCAATAATGCAGGCAATTTGATTCTGAACTTGTGGCGAGCCTTGTTCTCTTGTCGAGATAGCTGTCTGGATCTACGAGTTGGATAGGTAGATGGATGACGATAAGTAAGTCATGTGATCTATGAGAGTGTATATGATGATCCCATAGATAATTGCTGATAGCAAGAGTCACTGATGGCGACTCTGAGACCACCACTTTTGGAGTCCAGCAAGAGAAAAGATACCCCACTAGCTTAGCTTGGGGTTCAGCAGGCATTGTTCGGTTCCCTCCGATGCTCTGAGCAAGACACAGATGGTCTTCATCTTTCAGGTTGACAAAGAAGGGACAACCTCGAACCCAATCCTGGCATCTTTTCGAGTGTTAGGTAGGCAGTTCGGGCACAGTTCCTGAGCTCCTCCTCAACCAGTGGTCTTTCTTCCTTAGCCTTGTGCATCTGCCCATGTTTCAGGCACCAGCAAGCAGCGAAACTCTCGGGAATTCTTCTTCTTCTTTTGGAGACCAATCGACGACCAGCGGACAGATTAATCTTCTTCTTCTTCTTCTTCACTTGTTTATTCATCTTTCTTTTCTGATCCGGTGGAATGGACCCATTTGCATGTGATCTTTCCGTCATTGAAATATAGAACATGATCTACAAGTGTGAAAGACTTTGGGTGGCTTGGAAACAGCTATTGGCCATCGAGTACATTTAAGCGTCGAATGATGGAGCTCGACAAAATGTTTCAAGTGATCTCGAAGAAGAGAACTTGTAGAATACTTAATGATCATGTCAACCGTATGCTTATTCTTATCCATTGACATGACTCCTGCCAATAATTCTAGTTTCCGATCAATAAATGTTTGATAGTATCCTTCGGAAGGACAAAAACCATCTTTACATTAAACTACGTTCGAGATGTTCTTGTGAGGATTAATCTCATCAAAGATGTCTGAAACAGATACAGAACGAGAAGACTACAAATCCATGCCTCCGTGTTCCCATCTGATCTATATATAAAACATCCCACGCTAGCTCGAGTAAGCAGCAGAGAAGCTCACGCTTGTTGGTTCCACTAAATGAAACGAGGTGTCACGGTCGAACAGTGGCAGGAGAACAGTCAGCTTGTCTCTCTCTTCTTGATTCCATTGTAGTTTTGGGCTAATGTAAATGAGTGCTCTTTACGCTAGCTCGAGTAACCTGCGGCGGAAGCTTTGTCTCCGTGGCTGCTGTCTTCTACGAGCGAGCTCACTGCAGAGTTGCGAGCAAAGCTCGTCTTCTTTTCTCTGAGCTAAGGTCAATCCGAGTGTAGGTTGCGTGCCAAGCTGGGGGGGGGGGCGGTGATCTTTTGACGCATGGAATATACACCGGTGGGGGGTTGATCGAAGAAACCGACGTCAAGCATCCGTAGCAGCACAGTCATTGCGGCCTTCAGATTCCCAAACAGCAACAGGTCGGTGACGTTGCTTCTGTCTCCTTGAGATGGCTCGCTCTGTCCTCCTCACTGACCACACCTCTCTCTCTCTCTCTCTGGCCGAAGGGAACGCAGGGGTGGTAGTGACCACACCCGCCATGTGAGTGTCTCTGAAGCGCACACAGGGATCTTTTCCTCGCTTCTGTCTCGTTGGCCCCAACCCACGAGCCAATCCAGGAAAAGGAGAGGGAAAAGTCCAAGACTGCAGACACTGCCGCAAAAGGACGTAACCCCCATGCGTGCCACTGTGCATGATAACACACCGAGGCCAGTAGTAAAAGAAAAAGCTGCTACTGTTGATGGTTACTCAAGGTAGAAGCCTGACCACGGAAAGGCTGCATGGATCCACGACGAAGGCCTGAAGGGGGAGCCGGTGATTGAGCTCAGCCCCATTCCCACCTCCCCATCATTCCTCCCTAGTTCCTGAATCACCATAACAAGGTAGTGTAGCTGGCGAACACGACCATTAAGCTAATATCACGGTATCGTAGTGCGTGAAATATAATACCCTTCATCTCAGTGAAAGTAGGCAACAGCGACAACAAAAGAACAGCCACAACAGCGACAAGAGAAAGAGAGGAAGGGAGGGGGTGGAGGGGCCTGACCAGTGCAAGAAGTAGGGTCATTTGGCAGTGGGGTGGATGTGGCAGAGAGAGAGAGAGAGAGAGAGAGAGAGAGAGAGAAAAGGTTCGCTGACCTGTTACAGCAGATCTAAGATCTATCCGTCCGCTCACCAGCGTCTCTCCTGTGACCAAAAGGAAGACACGGAGGGAGGGGAAGTATAGAGAGGAAAACGGGGCCATTTGCGAGTCAAGGCGAACATATGCAGGGCGAAGTAACCGCAGATGATGGCGTTGCAGCC